GTTACGCATGCAGATAAAAGTGTAAATGTAGCCAAGCACTTTGGTCAGGAATGCATGTTTGCATTGCAATGTAGATGGAGGTGAATACCCACTAAATACTATGCAGGGCATTTTGGGATTTGACCTATGGGTGCTAGGAAACTTTGCAATGGATTCCAATGAGTTTGAATTTCTCTGAATCCAAACTGCAGATTCCACACTGGACCATATTTTTCCAAGTCATGCAGAATTGTGAATTGGGTTTGTTTATTTTTGGTGTTGGGGGAAGTTTGTAAATGCATACATGGTCAAAGTGAGGATCTGTCAACAAAATTCTCATACAAAAAATCTAGTTCTGTCCATAAGAAGATGGCCAAATCTGACAATCCATAAAAACTGGAATGCATTTAACAAAATCTGTACGTCCTTACTAGGATGACATAACTCATGTCTGAATGTGCACTGGAACTCTGTCTTTACTTGACTCTCACTTTGGCCCAAACTGCAGTAATGGTGAGAAGGATGGGCAACAGATGTCATTGGCTACTTATTCACTGTTAGACGTGTAAATGGTAACAATGCTTATAAAGAGGATGAAGAGCACAACGGCTGGTGACAGTCATGGTGAGAATGTAGACTCACTTGGAGGAGGGAAACCCTTGCGAATGTTGTATCCAGAGACCAAAACTCTAGAGCCAGCACTATACAGGGTAGGACGCTTCCATTCCAACAAAATTTACTGGAGTGTCAAAAGTAGCCTAAACAATGTTGACGTGTGCTACCCGGAGCTTCATTAGAAATTAATTTTTCTCCATGGGGTCTTACCATGTATTTTTAAGGGTTTTCATAACATTTAGATTGTTGAAAGCATGTTCTAGACAGCAGCACGGATAGTGCCAAACAACTTCTAAATACCAAGAAGTAAGATGAAGCCCACTTAGTGACATTTGGAGAACTCATCCAGATGGAATGTTCTCGGCACTTGTGCCTTGTTTATTTCAGCTCCAAAGCTGTGGTGGAAAAACCAAGGTTAGAGAGAGGGGATGTTCAGGAAATTGTGGCTGTCTGGTCAGTTTTCTTGAATTCCAGAAGTACAGCCTTGCATTTTTCAAAGTTTCTGATTTCAGCACCCAAACATGTGGTCAGAATTCTGCTCTGCCAGAGATTGCTTTGCTGACTGGTGTCGAAATATATGGCTTTAACTTTGTAGTGAACCTGTTAATGGCAGAGCTGTGTCCCTTAAGAAAGTTCAGAGTTAAAATTCAGGACCCTTAAGGGCTGTTCATGAGACCATCCTGTATGCATGTGTTAGCAACACAGGGAGAGCACAGCTGCCATACTGGCTAGACTAGCTGCTGACATCAGCACATTGAACACAATGTTGTGAGGAAGAGTCTATGCATGGTCTGCTGGGTATTCATAGCTCCTCACCCAGTCAGGATCTTTGCACACTTGGTGCAGGCTTTCCTCAGCAATGAGACGGGAGCAGAAAGCTCACACATGTTAGGATGTGGCTGGCAAGCATGGTCCCATTCCACCTTGTATGTCCTGCTGTTTGATGAGGGGTCTACTCCAAATCAAAGAACCATATGGACAGAGACCAGCAAGGGCCTTGAAGTTGTCCATCAGTATTGGAGAGCAGACTACACATCACAAGAGTCATCATAGTCTTCTCACTGTGGTGAGGTGCCTTATATTTCTATTTAAACAACAGTTATTAGTTTGACATTTGCATGTGAGAACTGGCACCCTCTTTTGTCCCTTTACTTCTTTTATTTTTTTGTGGATGCATAAGTGTTGAAATGAGGAATGTTTCCACTCTTCCCTAGCTTCCTTCAGCCATCCAAACAATTTCCCTTTCCCCACAAGAAGGAGGGGCTGAGGCATCACCTGGATTTGGTAGGAGCTGGCAGTGCCCCACATCTCCACTTTCCACCACCCAGAATTATTCCACAAATGTCTTTGTGGCCTCAGTCTAGATGAGAAAACCACACCAGCTGAAATGGTGGAACAGGGCTGAATCCCCACTCTGACCTTGGAAGGCTTTCCACCTTTTCCTGTGGCTAGCTAGACAGCATCTTTGGGGCATGGGATGTGCCCTAAGTCATGTGCAAGCAGGGAAATATTATTTCTTTAATTCACATCAACCAATTCATTACATTTATATCCTGCTTTTCTTTCAAGGAGCACATAATTCTCCTCTTTTCTATTTCATCCTCACAACAACTCTGAGTTGGGCTGAGTCATAAGCACCTGGTGAACTTCATGACAGAGTGGAAACTAGAACCCAGGTCTCCTGCATCCCAGTCCAATCTCCTAACCACTACACTGGCTTTCTGATATCATGTGGTCAGGCACCATCCTCATGCTTTTTCATCCTATCAGGCATTTCCTATACTCTGATTGTCCCCTGGCCTAGCACCTTCATTATCTGGGGGCCCCGCATACATTTATTGTCTTACTGTATACCAGAGTGTTGCATCCTGCTGCCCACGGTGTCCCACCACATAGTCTATATGCCACATGTAAGAAGTTCTGTACTGATCTGTTAAAAAATGTGATATCCTAAATGTGCAATCTAAGAATCCAAGGAAGGCTTGGTATCTAATATCGGGTGCAGTTAAAATCAGCATTCTAACATTGTATGGGAAAGAAACAAAGGCTTTCTCCCTCAAAAGATCTCTTCTTCCTAGGGAAGCTGAGTTCTGGCTGCAACCCAGGCTGTTATTCATCTGTATCAAGCTGATGGCCTCCAGTAGATTGGACTACAGCTCCTATCATGTGATCATGCTGGCTAGGGATGATTGAGGTGGTAGTCCAACACCTTGTGCCAGACTGGGCAAGGCTGCTGTACAGGTTCATAACAAGGCATGGGGCCAGATAACAGCCTTGTTGACGATTTTGCTAATGCAGTATATTCTGCACTTCCCCCAATGCATCTCCCACCCTGGACAGAAATAAGGCAATCAAATATTTATGTTGCACCTTCTTCTGCCCGAATTCAGGTCACATCATGCTATGCTCAGACATTTGTGATTTTGTTTTACAGACAAATCTTTACAGCTTGTAATGTATTCCATAAAAGTCAGCTGAATATGAAGGATGCAAGGAGCAAAACACTAGCATGCATCTGTTCTTGCTCAAAACATTAACAATGTCAGGGAGTGTAGCTATTATCAGAAGCTCCCTCATTATGCACGGGAAAATCCATTTAACTTGCTCTTGTAATGTTGATGCTTCTTGAAGGAAGGCACAATTAGCCAGAAAAGAATTCTTGAAACAGCTGTTAATTCATATGTGAGTGCACTGTGTTGCCATCTACTCAAAGCCCACAAAATGAATGTCAGTCTTCTAAACTGCAGTATAGAACAAATCTATGTATATGGGAGTATGATCCTCATTTGAACTCAGTTGTGCCAGACTTCACTTCACCAAGGGCCGTACCTGTTGACTCTAGTCCAATCCACAGTTATGCACACTTGAGCCCCACAGAAATCAAGGTGACCAGTCACACTAATTCCCTGCAAAACCATGGCAATGAAATGGGAGTTCTCAGAAACAAGTAAGGATATTCTGCTTATACACAGTAGGCAAAAGTGAAAAGTGCCATACCTGCTCTTTTATTGCGCCCTTTATTTATTCATTGAATGTCTGTGCTGCCCAGCTGACACAAGCCTTGGAGATGGTTTGCAATAATAATCCCCCCAAATGATCCTAGGATCACAAGGGAAGGTTGCAGATTGCTGACCGCATCTATGCCATTTCCCCATTTATCTCAGGAAAGCTGGGAATATCCCTTTTCCCTCAAACATGGAGTGCATGAGCATGTAATAATAATGAAATTTAACGAGAAGCCATTCCACTAGCCCAACTGAAGGAATTAATGCTTCCCCATCCTCCCCTTTCTTTTTTCAGTTGTGTGTCGTGTATTTTTTAGCTTGTAAGCCTGTGGGCTAGGATTGTCTTGTTTAACTCTATGTAAGCCATTTTTGGTGGGGGTGGGGGGCACACTGTGGTAATACTTCATATAACAAAATAAATAATTGGTGTCCCCTCCACTTATGAAATGATTTCCCCACTGAGGCCTGCCTGGCCCCAATATTAGCATCCTTTGGGTATCCAGCTAAAATTGTCCTCTACTCTCAGGCATTTAATGGCATACGAGTGTTGGGATGTCAGTGGTTTTAAAGGGTTAATTAGTTTTGTTGAAATAATTTTGAGTATTGCAATTTTACACTGCGTTTACTGCATCTACATTTTTTCATTGTATTGTTATTTATTAATGTACTTTAATAAATAGTTGTGAGCTGCCTGGAGAGCTTTGGCTATTGGGTGGTATAGAAATAAAATTAATATAAATGACAAGGTGGGGTACTAAACCTCAGGTGAGTGGGCCAAGCCTGTCCTTTCTGGGGTCCCAGCACAACTCTATGGTGGTGTTCCCCACAGGGTCTGCCTCTCTGACCCACCACCTTTCTTTTATCCGCTGATCATTCAATGGTTTTCTATCTTTCACGCAAGTTTCACCCCACTCTTGCGGGTTGAAATGCCTCTGCTGAGGCTTAGTCATAGCTGGAAGGGCCTTAGTTTCTGGGCTGCCTGTTTTGCCGTGGGTCTTACCTACCAGTGGAATGCAGGCCTCAAGAGCTTCTCTGAAATAAAGTTTGGTCCTTGGGCTGATAGAGGTCCATAACTCTGACCTTGGATTTGGGAATCTGGAGTGTGATATGGCCACTCAGGTGATACCTCGGGCCATTGTGATACCTCCCTACATTGGTTTTACTGCCATGTTTTTATATGATTCAGAAGATGCATAATTTATGTTACTTATTTAAATAAATAAATGTAACCTTTTTGTTTTACTGGAGCTACTGGGTGATTTTAGAAATTACACTGTAAACAGGAGAATTATAATTTGTCGGGATGTGGTCTGAGGACATTCATGGTGAAATCCAGTAATATGTTGGTGCTTTCTGCATAATAATGTAACCTTTTCCATTCCTTTTTATCTTTTCGTTTAGCTTCATGCTCAGTGGCCCTTTGGGTTGACTCCATTTGGGCGATTTCTTTGCAGTTGTGTTCCTTTTATTCAAAAGGCATCTGTGGGGATCACTGTCCTTAATCTCTGTGCGCTAAGCGTGGACAGGTAAAAAATGTATTATTTCATTTTATCAATATTTTTCCTAGAATAAAATGAGTGTACTGGCTCACACTTTTGATGACTTTTGAGATTAATAACTTGGTGCATACATGTTAAGAATGAAGCCCTCATCCTGTGCTGTGTTATAACTCTGTATGATCATTCTCTGAATAGCCAGTTGACAAGGAACTATGCAGAAATCATGTAATCCTCAGTTCATTCAAACTTTTTAAAATAGTCATGATATTTAAAAGTTCCCTGTTCTCTTGATGTTTGCTGAGATAGAAAAAAGAAACGTGTACAGTAAATTGCCGTTCATGTTTGAAAGGCCTTTCTTCATCGGCCATTCCAGCTGGGGATGATGGAAGTTGTAGTTCAATTTATCAGGAAGGCACTAGACTGGCAAAACCGGAGTCAGTGCAGCATAGGGCCACAAGGTTGGTGGCCAGTTTGCAGGGGATGCCGTATGAGGCGAGGCTGAGGGAACTGGGTCTCTTCAGCCTGGAGAAGAGGAGACTCAGAGGGGATCTGTTGGTGACATGCAGGTATGTGAGGAGGTGTTACACAGAGGTGGATAGAGACATGTTCTCCCCTGCAGAGGAAGGCAGGACGCGCTCCAACGGAGCAAAGCTCAGGGAACCAAGGTTCCATTTGGATGCCAGGAAGCACGTCCTGACAGTCAGGACCCCGAGGGTGTGGAATGGGCTTCCACAAGAGGTCGTTGAGGCCCCATCGGTGCGGGTGTTCAAGGATAGGCTGGACGTCCACATGGTGGGCATGCTGTGAGTGGAGCCGGCTGGTGCTGGAGGTCAGACTAGATGGCCCGGGAGGCCCCTTCTGACTTGCTCTGTTTCTATGTTTCTATGTAACTGGCGATAAAACAGCTTTTTCCATTGAATTGTATAGAAGAAGTGTGGATGCAAGGTAAATCTTGAGAAGTTTTGGTCTTCAGCTCACAGAAGATGGAGCTAATGGTCAGGAGTGCTAGATGTAGGTAGCTAATTGAAAGAGGAAGTGAAGAATGTGCTGGAGCCAGCATGTTCACGTGCTCCCACTAGATTTGATAGTCCAGCGGCTACTTAACCCAAGAACCTCTGTTTCGACATACTCTTGGTTTCCTTGCCTAGCTTGCTATGTTACAGGACATGGGTAAGCAACTTGTGGCCCCCCAGATCTTTTAGCTCACCACTCCCATAATCTCTTCCATTGTCTGTGCTGGCTATGAGTCACAGGAGTTTTAGACTAGGCTGGAAGGAAGGGAGCAAGCTAGCTGTGGCCTCAATGAGTGCTCTTCAAGGCTGGGGCACAGTCACAGCCATCCTCTCTCCTTTCTCCTATCTGGCAGGACTTCAGGGAGGAGAATTGCCTGAGGCTCTGTGGTTCACATATAGCAACTTGGTGGCCAGATTTCACCTGCAGGCTAGAGGTTCCCCATTCATGTTGTAAAGAATGTTGACAACAAAATGTGCATTTTCTGTTAGATATTTTGGTAAAATGGATGAAGCTGGCCATTTAACATTTCTGTGTTTATTGTAGGTATCGAGCAGTTGCTTCTTGGAGTCGTGTCCAAGGAACTGGAGTCCCTTTGATCACTGCTATTGAAATCTTTACCATTTGGATTCTTTCCTTTGTCTTGGCTATTCCAGAAGCCATTGGCTTTCATGCTGTCGAGTTTGACTATTATGGAAAACACTTCGTCTCCTGTATGCTTCTGTCTAACACCAGCTTTTTGAAAGTATGTATCAAAGTATATCAGTGGTGGTTAATTTGCACCATAAATACCACAAAGGGATAGGCTGTGGAGGTAGGTTAAGAGGTAGAGGAGATGGGAAATGATGCAGTTGCAGAGGGAGAGAGGGAGTCCATATGGGGAATGAAATATGGCAATAATTACATCAACATACAAATGCACAAGCTTAATAAATTAAGAAAAATCTAAAATGTTCCCAGGTCTTTAATGCACATATTCAGCATTGCAAATGCTAAAAATTCAGTTGCTTTCTGATATTGGCTGAGGTCACAGTTTAGTCATTAGAGCTGCTCCCCCCTCCCCCCAGTGCATGCTGCAGGTTCCTCCTTCACTTTTGGGGGCAGGAGAAGTGATCCCCTCTATGGGTCTGTGAGCACTGTCTTTAAGATGCATTTACTAATGTTGGAGCTCATGATAATGAATACAGCACAGTTTCCACTGTGCTGGAAACAGTCTTGTGTTCCACAAATGCAATTGTGGAATTAGTAGGAAGATCTGGAAAGGTAAAGTTTCAGAAAGCCAGATTCTGGCTCACTATCAGAAAAACATTCCTGATTGTTAGAGCAGTACGACAAGGGAATCAATTACCTAGGGCAGTGATGGTGAACCTTTTAGAGACTGAGTGCCCAAACTGCAACCCAAAACCCAGTTATTTATCTCAAAGAGCCAACACTGCAATAAAACCTGAAAACAGCCAGTCCAAGCAAACACACACACACACACACACACACACACACACACACCCTTGGCAGCGCACTGACTGGCCATGTGAAAGCTCGGATGAGTTGCAGCTAATGAGTCACTTCTGACATCATCGTCTGGCACCACTACTCCTTTCTGAGCATGCGCATGGCCCCTGTGTGCGCTGTTATCCAATGCTCAGCTGCTGGGGCGATGCTGGGGCAACTTGGCTCGTGTGCTGACAGAGAGGGCTCTGCATGCCTGCTGTGGCACACGTGCCATAGGTTCGCCACCACGGACCTAGGGAGGTTGTGGGCTCTCCCACACTAGAGGCATTCAAGATACAACTGGACACCCATCTGAGAGGGATGGTTTAACCAGGAATCCTGCACTGAGCAGGAGATTGGACTCCATGGCCCAATGGCCCCTCCTGAATCTACTAATCTATGATTCTGTGATGTGTTCAAGGAAATGGCCCTTAGGGTTGTGGGGATTTTTGTTAGATCAGTTATGCTTGTGCACATACTTGCTACTGTTAAGGAGTGGAGATTATGAAGAATGATTCATAATTCCTCACCAAAAGTCAAAGCAATTCCCCTTTTCCCATGCTGACTTTTGCAAGAGTGAGTGACATGGAAACAATGTCATTTACTTCTGAGCAGTCATGTATTTCAGCACGTTTTCTGCTAGTTCTTCTTCCAGCATTTGCAGTGTGGAAGATACATTTTCATCTCGCATCAGCATGTGTGCATGCAGAAATGTGGGATAGACTAATACCTCTTTTGCTGCAAAGTATGCATGAGAAAGCATTGCCGAGTTATGCTGACTGTGTGCTTGCTTTAATTACACATGTGCAATTAGAACATAGGAGCAAAGCCACTAGGTGTGCATCAGGACCCAAATGAAAGCTCTGCTGTTGCATGTCAAGCCCACACCAGATAACCCACAGCTGTCTTCCCTGTCTTGTTCTCCTCCTCCCTGATTCAAAGCTGCAAATTGCTTTTCTTTCCCCTCCATACACCCTTGCAGAGCAGTGGTTGACAGACCCCACACTCCCTACAGAGAGATTGCTCATCCAGGAAAATCACCATTGGTGCCCTTCGGGTAAACTGCAGCAGATCATTCTGGACTACTAAGCTATTACCTTAACATACAGTGGTTTCCTGCAGCTGTAGCCCCACAGTACACTTTCCCCCATCCCCACAGAGCAGCCTTTGTAAATCAGAGTGACCCATCTGTGGCCATTGGGACCAGTTTCATGCCAAGGGCCACATGCAGCCCCAAGAGCTACAGGATCAACAGCTCTCTACAAACCATCTGCTCGGACTTCAGGCAAGACCTTGGCAACCTGCTGGGCTGGGAGGAAAGAGGCAGAGAAGGGTGTGTTGTAGAAAAAGTGAGAGCAACTGCTTTCTTGGCTGTGGTCCTGGCCACCACTAGCATGAAAGCCACAAGGGACTGCAACTCTCAACAGGAAAAAAAAAATCCCAGTTCCAACTCTAACTTAGTGAAGTCAAATGGAATTTATGCTAGAAATGAATGGGAAGTGCATGAATTTCATATTTCGTATTGCGGAGTTTTAAAATGGTTAAAAAAGAGGTTTAGGTAAAAGACAAACCTAAATTGTTGGTAGCACAGAATATGAAGCAGTCACATGAGGCTACAGTATGATCACATAAACTTCAGCCTTACATGATGAGTGATGATCCATTCCTCAGGCAACACCCTCCTTTGCCCAATTGAGAAAGTGTTTCTTGATCTACAATCTAAAGGGCTTTGCTGAAAGTTGACTGTGCAGATTGATTTATGAGGAGTTAGTTGGTCAATGAATCACACACCTCTCAGCCTTTCCAGCTCTGGAATTCTATATTTTGACCTTCTTTTAGAAGCCCTAATAAATAAGCCTCAAGTGCTTTTATTATAACATCTTTCTTAAAAAAATAGTTGTTGTGTGCCCTGTAGACTTTTTCCTATAATAAATTTTTATAATCAAAGCACTCTTATTCTCTGATCATAGAAGACACTAGGAGCACCCCAACTCCTTCATTAAGGCTGCTGCTGCATGAAATTAGCCTTTAAAGTAATGCTTAGAAGTTCACTCAGTGTTTTTCAAGCAGTTCTAACGTATCAGAATATGGACCAAGTCTAACGTAGGTTTAGTGAGGATGATACAGCTAAACCTGGTTAAGCTAGATGCTGGCAAAAGATCTGTCAGGTTTGATTAATAGATGACTAGGTGTTTTGTAGTAGGGTGGCAAAATATGACTTCCTGTTAACACGTCTGTTCTGTTAACATTAACATGCTGCAAAAATATTCCCCCTCTCCACACACAGTGCAACAGTTAAATTATACTGCTAAAATAAAGATAACCTGGATGGAATTGTGGAAACTCAGTTCTTCCAGCACTCAGCTCAGAAATATCCCGTTTTTTAATTCTGCGTCTGTTACACCTGGCTCCAGTTGGTGGCTCTCTAGTAAAACGCAAAGTAGATCCTGCAAATGTGACATCTATCCATGTCGGCTTAATGGAGCCACGAAATATTCTGGCAGGATTTATTTAGTTTACCCATTTCTTCCAAAATGAGGTTGATAAAACAATGCTTTTTCTGCCTTTTCCTGAGATCTTGAAGTATGTCACATTTGAGACTGCACGGTTTAGTGGAAGATTGGTAGGTGGAAGTGCTGCTTGGCCCTTTGTTTTCTAATCACTTCCTGTTCCAAACCCCATTCTCCATTTTAGTGTATATCAGCAGCTATCCCTGCAGAGAGGGAAGCAGTGAGGTGGCAAAGGGGACAGTGAATGGGAAACATGGTTGGGAATGGTTAGGCATTCCTCTGCTTTTCCTCTGCCTCATAGGCTGCTTTTGTTTAACAAAATAAAATATGGCAGAAGAGACATGCACAAATCTGGTAATATATCATTTATTGAATACATAAAGAAATGTTCCATTCCTCCTAAGAGAAATAGTCTTACCTTCGACTTTCTCCAGGTATTCAAAACCAGCTTTCATTTGAGAGTTATCCTGGTTTGCAAAAAGTTTCCTTTCCCTGCCCCTGCAAAGGAATTTGGCATAAATGAAAATAAAGGAAGTCATGGAAGTTTCAAATACATGAATGAGGGATAAAAGGGGGAAGCCACTTCACTTTTAAGTCTGGTACTTCCTGTAGCAAGCTTTATAATAAATCATGTCAGTTAATGTTAACAGGACTTTATGACTATCTGCTTTCTGTAGTCTTAGAACCTTCTTTTTATAATTTTTTGAAAGCCCTACTTTCAAATATTTGTGCTAGATGTAAATCCCAAAAGGCCAAGTGCTCTAGGGAACATGAAAAGTCATGTTTCCTGTAGAAAACTAGCTCCATGTGGAACTGTACAGCAAATAAAAAAGTGCTTTTGTCATGTGCATCAGAGTACCAAATTGGGTTGAGGCAAGATCCATGCAAGCTTTAATGGTCATAACTGTTTGCAGGCATCTTGCTTCAGATTTTGTAACTTGAAAATGTTACACTGTCACTTTCTTAAATACTAAATAGGTTGGATATGGCTTTTGGTATTCTTTCTAGCATTTTTTTTTCTTTAGCACAGTAATTTCAGTTTTAGTAGAAGAGAGTCGAATTTAGTCCTTAATCCACATGAGACTGTGCTTTTGATAAATGCTGGTAAATTTCTAACCCTGCACATTTTCTTTGAACTAGTCTGCCATGCAAGGCCTCAGTGATAGAGTACATGCTCAATATGCAGAACAGCCGTCCCCAGTTTGGTACCCCCATTTTGGACAACAACTCTCAGAATTCTTAACCATTGCTCATGCTGGATGGACCTGATGGGAATTGAAGTCCGAAACAGCTGAAGGATATGAGGTTGGAAAAGGCTGATGTAGAAGATCTGAGGTTCAGTCCCCAGCATCTGCTGTTAAAAGCACTTGAGTTGGGAAATACTAACCCATCAGATTGCTAAAGCCAATCATAGTGGGCTAGTCTTCATTGTCCGACAAATGGACCCTCCTCTCATTTCTGTTCACTCTCTCTCCAAAGCAGAGATTTTGGTGGTGGCTTTCAATGAAACCATAAAGATAAGCAAGGCATTAAAAACAATAATCAGAAAGTATAGTAACATCAACTACCGAGGCAACATGAGGGCTCAGTGCTCATCCAAGCAGCTCTCTTCTGGAAGTCAGCCTAAGCTGAATGTATCATGTAGCAGACAGCTAGTAGTGAATATCTATATGACTGCCACATGGTCCAAAAAGATTCATAGGCATGGCTTTTTTGTTTTTGTTTTATTAGAATACCATAATTAAATCTGCAACTCCAGAGCAGCCACGCCAAGAATGATGGACAGGCTAGGTGGCAATACTTTTGGGGCTCTTTGAAGAGAAGGAAGCAGCCTCCCTCCCCCTTCATAGTACAGGCATACATTTAGCCCAGACTATGCTGGGTATTTACCTGCTCCACCTTTTTTCCAAGCACCTTCTTGGCAGCATTCCAGGACAGCATTTGAAGTGGGGCTGAAAGCGGGAAAAACCAGTCATATTGAGTTTAGTGTAGTAGGGAGCAAATTGGATAGCAGAGATTTAAATTCTTCCTTTCTCAGGCTAAATTTGACCTATTTGAATACTATTTTTAAAATATGTTGTTTTTATTATTTTAAGTCAGCCTGCCTGTGTCTTAAAGAAAGAAGTGCATAAGGGAGAATCTGTTTTAGTCCAGTGTGTGCCAAAGTTTGCCATACTTTAACATGAACTATCTCTAGGGATATATTCCCTTCAGTTCCATTGCTGCCAGCTGTTAGCTAACTAGCACTTTCTCACAAATGTTTCCAGTGATTTCAATGGCATCATTTGTGAGAGATATTTGACATGAGAAAGGTTTACATTCAGGCCCCAGGCTAAGGCACCAGAAGTAAATAAATTGTGCTTTCTCACTCAGTTGCGCACGCGCGCGCACACACACACTAGCATCATATAACCAATGTCTCTAACTATGTAAAGTCTAAAAATGTTGCTTCATTAAGAACAAATTAATTTGTGGTAAAGCTTTTATCTTCATAGTCCAAAGCTATCCTTGTAATTGAAATATGTGTAAACAGAACTGCAAACTTGAGACTCCTTTGAACAGTAGCAAAGAATTCCACACATAATCCTCTTCTATTAGCATCATGATATTCTGGTGTGGGAACAAGTAAAATGACATCTGCTAGGAATAAACAAGTGATAAGGAAAAGATGAGAAAAATTGATTTATTTATATGTATTCCTTTCAGGGATAATCAAGATGTAGGATTTTTTTCCACATGTATGTGTACACACATACTTGTTACCCATCTTTGGAATGGCCCCAGAGACAGACAGTTAATAGCAAAGGGGTAAAACTGGAAAGCTTCGTCAAAGATATTAATCTGAAATCACTAAATGTTCTAAGTATGAAGTGGGGAGTGGGGATAAAGGAATGTTTGAGAGATCTCCCGCTTCCTGTCGCACAGTACACAAACCATGCAAAGGGTTACATTCCAGGCAGGGGGTTAAAAAAGCCACAGACGCAAAGTCAATGGAAACCACAACTTGGACTCCACATTTTCCAGATTAGTGCATGTTTAGGTAGCTTCTTTCTGCCTGTTACATAAGCAAAGCTGTTAATCTCTCTACCGATAGCACAGCATGATTGTATTTACAAGACATTCTTAACCTGGACATTTTGGGATCAAAGCCATTCATAAAAAGCCTTAAAAGGTAACACAGTCCACATTTTTGTTGGTGCAGGCTGTTAGTGGGACCTCTATAGCCTTTTGATTTTAAGACAAGGATTATTATTGATATGATCACTGAAGTTTGAAAGTAGAGACTAGATCAGTTTTGGCAAGTCAGTTTTGAGAAACAGTCAAGTAACTACAACCCAAACAAGAAGGGCCATAACTCTCAGCTCTTTCCTGCTTTCACTTGTTTACCTCCAAGGTAAATTGAAACACTTTCCCTCATATCTTTGTTCCAGGAGGTGTAGGTATTTTGCCATATAAGACAAAGCAAAGGGAAAACAGCAACATTTCAAAGAAGGGTGCTTAATATTCATGCACACTGGAGCACTCTGGATCGAGTCCTACTGCCAGCAGAAACACCACCAGTGGCACTTCAGAATTCATGAAGATTTCCACTGGCATAATGCTTGAGAGTCAAAACACCCCATATAGGTCTCTGGGCATACTCTCCCACCTCATCCCAGCCTCCCCAGCTGGCATTCAATGTCAGCATTGGGCTTTTAACAGCATGTGATGGGGCTCTTCCAGCAAATTGTCAATCATGCATTACTAGTTGGGGAGACCCATATGGAATGTCTTGACCTGGGACCAAAATAACTTGGCCTCCATTGGACAATGCGTACCTTGATTTGCAGGGAGCACATTTGCTGCTCTTGAGCCAAACCTGTCAAATGTTTTGGCCAGCCCTCCAGGAAGCCAGTGTCATGATTCATGCCTAGGGGGATATAATCCATGTTCTTGATAAATTCTAATTCAGTTATTTCGGGCTGGAGTATCTAGAGATTGAAATGTTACCTGAGGATTGCCATTTCTGATATCAAATATGTTTTCAGTATTATTTTTTGCATGGAAACTGGTGTGTTTGTCATATCTAAAATGCAGAAGGGAGATTGTATTTCATGCAGTCCTAATATGTAACATTTTGATTCTCCTTTGCAGTTTTACGTTGATGTAAAGGACTGGTGGCTCTTTGGATTCTATTTTTGCATGCCACTTGCATGCACAGCCTTCTTTTACACCCTGATGACCTGTGAAATGTTGAACAGACGGAAGAGTAATTTGAGAATAGCTCTCAGTGAACATCTTAAGCAGGTAAGGAAGGAAGGCAATAGGTAGAAATCACTTCCACATATATTTTCTATGCATTGTCTTTGAATTTCTTCACTACAAATTAATAAAATGCAAGCATGACTAAAGGTGAGTTTTGAACCAGAAGTATTCTGGCAGACTGAGAACATAAGGGTAAATTCAGTGTGAACAAATAATGTAGAGACTAGATGCTTTAGAGACTAGACAAGTTTGTTTCCTTTAAATTATATGTCACAGTGTTGCTCATCCACTTTCTAACCTTAAGTTCTACATTTTGAATTCTTTGGACTCCAGCTTCAAAGATTCGCCAAAAATACATTCCTGCATCTTAATGTCTTAACGCGATGTGCTTTTGGATCCTTTTAACTTGATCCAAGTCCAAATAGCAATAAATTTCCTTCTGTGACAGAGAAAGATGATTAATATAGTTATGATTGATGCATGGCAGTTTTACAGTATTCACATACAAAAATAATTTGCAATTTTATTTCCTAAGACAGGACTGTGTGGTTTTCGAGATGTTGTTGGACTTCAATACATATCATTCCCACCCCTGGCTATGCTGGCCGAAGCTGATGGGAGATGCAGTCCAACAACATCAAGAGGCCTGCAAGTTCTCCACTCCTGCGCCAAGATGCACCACAGGTAGAAGGCTTTCAGGCAGTGGTGGAACTAGGTAGCTTGAGACTCTTGGGTTAATGGTCTTATTTCAGTTGTGAAGCACATAATAATGTTTTTCTTTTTGTTGCTCCCCACCATTCTATGAATACAACTGCTTCCATTTTTTTCATAGGTGATAACAAAAACCCAAAAATACTTACCACCACCAATAATGCCTTCACCTGTAGCAGCCTTTGCACACTTTACAATCAGCAAGAAGGTTGACCACAGGTGAGAAGGCCCAGCTGTGGCCCATCCTGATAAGCCAGCCATAGCTATATTAATGCTTTCAGGGTTTTTGAGCGGTTGCTTCAGTTCAGTTCCTGGACAACAGCTGATAAACCCTTGACCATTTCAAAGCAGACCAGGGAGTTAAGAATGTATAAGAATCTTGCTGTATTGAGTTAAATACATTAGCCTGATCATTAAAAAAAATCCTAACCTGCTCAGTTTACTTCAAACCATCATTGCAAGATCAGTCACTAGCCATATGTTTAATAATTATGTTTTCTAAGGCTTCTTCCTTATATTTGGGCAGCTTCCATTTTATTCTCTGTCATTTTGTGCTTACCATGACCTGCCTGTTTCAAATCCTCACTTGTCCTTTTATCCTCCAGAGACGAGAAGTTGCAAAAACAGTTTTCTGCTTAGTTGTCATTTTTGCCCTTTGCTGGTTTCCTCTCCATTTGAGCCGGATTCTGAAGAAAATGTTGTATTATGAACATGACCCTAACAGATGTGAATTACTCAGGTATTATTTTCATTTGGGGAATCATTTAGTTTTAACTTTAGTTCCATGGAAGATGCTAGTTCGGGCATTCCTGACTCTGTTCCTAACCCTACAACTCTCCTCACATCAGGCAGCATGACTGAGGGTGATGGGAATTGTAATCCAGTGCATGTCGCCTCACTTCTGTTGCCCAACACTCGCATCAGAGAAGACGGTTTTGCCTCTGAAAGCAGTGCTGCGCAGCATCCAAATCAGAGAAGACACCTTCATTGCATTTGTTGTTGTCTGACACCCACAACCAAAGGAGCTTGCTCAGCCTCACTCAGACAGTCACTTCCACATCATATCAGACACTGAGTCATTTCTTTATACAAGTTACCAAGCAAGACCAATTGGCTAAGAAACCTATTTCACATTTAAGATACACAGAAAAATGGGGCTTACTCCCAGGTAAATGGGTAGGATTGCAGGCACAGGGTCTGCAGATACCCATTTACATGCTTAAGAGTATCCTGCTTGATTATCTTTAATGTCTTTGAACCACTGGGATTAGCATTGCAAGCATTCTGTGGCAGCAAGTTCCGTACTTCAGCTTGGTGTCTTGTGTCTTTTCATTTTTTAAGATTCCATTGTTTTATTGAGTGCTCTTAGTACTATGTCCCTCCAAAGCTGACAAGCATTTTTGATCACTCATTCTTATCTGTGAGTCAGCTAGCAATGGACACATCTGGCAGTTTCACTTTTTTTCATGTTCTGATTATTAAAGTCATTTTTGAATAATTACTTTCCCATAGAAGAAGACATTTGAGACTTTAAAAGATTAACCAAGACATTAGTCTCACCCATCTTGTGCTGGCTCTTCCCAACACAGGAAGGCCACATTGTACCTGCTTCAATATAGATTTTAAATAGATGAGGAGTCTGCTAGAAAAAAGAAGTGACAAACCTCAGCGCTGCTAACATGGTTAAATCACAGTGATTAAGAACTAGACTTGTAAGAGCCGAGTACTTGAAGCAACTTTACCTGGATGAATGAAATTGTTCTTTTTTATTTCTTCCATGTTCGGATGTTTTTAATTTGAACTTCTTTCCATTCATTTGAGGGAATGTGGGCACTTTGCTAATTTGGTCTTATCTGTTCATTTATCAATAACTGAACAAAGTTTTCATCTATCCTTCTGGCTGCAGGGGCTATATTTGAACAGTTTACTGCTGAAGTATTTATATTCTGTATGCAGATCAGATTACTCTGTTATGTAGAAGGAATTTCACAAAGTTATAGGTGGTTATATAATACTTTCCTAGTGTAATAAATATCACAATATTTTTATTTCTTTCTTTTAACCCTAGCTTTCTGCTGACGTTGGATTACATTGGTCTTAATCTAGCAACCATAAATTCCTGCATAAATCCTATAGCACTCTATTTTGTGAGCAAGAAATTCAAAAATTGTTTCCAGGTAAGGATAGAGATGGCCTAAAGAATATGCTTGAAAGTTAAGCTGTCAAAAACGAACATTTAGGCTATAATTCTTTAGGGTATAGTGCTCATTTAGTCAGAACAAACTGGCTTGACAATGCTGGGAGTTGTAGGTCATACTTCTGTCTGAACATGCATAGAACTGTACCATTTAAGGGATAAAATGTGAAACAGCATGAAGGAATATTGATTACTTTCTTCACCCACTGATGCCTCATCACATACACTTTATACCAGCTGGAAAACCATAAGAATCTCTTTGTAATAAGGCATGAAATTGTCTTCTTTGGTAAATGTTCGACATTTGCCTGAGCATGTTTGGTCTGTTTATATGTTATGAAACCATTATGGACTCCTGATGGAATTCCATTGAGTTCAATGGGGCTTACTCCCAGGTAAGTGTTTATGCAGCTTTCTCCAACATGATGGCCTTCAAACATATTGGATTGCAGCTCCCATAACTGGTCATTGACTGGATATCATGGGACTTGCAGTCAAGCACAACCAGCCAGTTGAGTTACTGCCTTACAGGACTGCCGCCTCAGAGAACAGAGGCCTTTTCTACATGAGTCTACTTTTCCGTTTATCACAGTCACAATCCAAGTATACAAGGAACGTTTCCTTTCTTGTTATTCTGATATATAACCTGTGGGTGGCACTATGGTATAGCAGAATAGCATGACTACACAAGAGGAAGTGCTCCATCTTTCATTTTCTTAATTCAGTGTCTTATTTTGTTCACTCTGAAGTAACTTGCCAAAACTGCTGATTTGACACTGAAGTGAAAGACTATAACATTCCCTGATCCCACCCTCCATCACAAACAACTATGAATATGGAGGGATGGGTGCATGAGAAAAAAAGCTCAGAATCTGCCTGCCTCACAGGGATTAATGTGGAAGTGCATTAAGAAAGTTTTTCCATAGAGAGATAGGCTTGTGTAACTGCACCAGCAGTGTTGCCCACTTCACACATAGCTACATCTGAAGTAGCTATTTATGGGAAAGGAAACTGTGTGATGGCTTTTCTTCAGTATGAGGACTAAGACCATGAGTTTCTTTGTTCCACCCAACAATGGAACATTCTAAATTCATCCATATCAGTATCTTTGGAATATATAGTTTCTAATAAAGAAAATCCCATTCTGGGCCTTCTTGTGAACTGCTAAAATGAAGGACATGTCTGGAATGTTACCTTGTCTGGTTCAGTCTAGTTAGTGTAATTAACTCATTATTTACTTGTTTCTTCCACAATGTAGTCCACTTGATTTGCGTGCCTGATACCATCTGCTCTCAGATTCCATAATAAAGAGGTTAATCCCCTTCTCATGAACCGCTTATTTCTGTTAAATTAAATCAATCTCCTCGTATCTGTCTTGAAGGGCCTCTTTGGTGTAGTGGGAAAGAGAATTAGCTGAAATGTAATTTGCGTCCTAGTTTGTGGCATTACTTTTTGTGCTCTGGCTGGCAGCTTACTCTGTTTTCATGAAGTAAGGGCCAAAAGACCAGCAGTGTTATCTCTTTGCCACAAGAATCCTCTGGTATGAATAGCTGCAGCAGGTAAGATGGGAGCATAGGAGGGTCAAACAGAGGAAACATATCTAATTTTACAATCTACATATATTTGACTAAACATAATAACCACACTCCAGCACAGAGTTAGGTGCACATAAAGTGAAACTAAAGGACCCAGTTTAGTTTAAAGGACAGTGTGCCCCAGTTTCTTTTCAGATAGTGCCCCAAATGCATTGTTTTTATCTTTTATCTGGATATTGTTTATTAATAAACCAATGGACTGTAGTTCAGCTGGTACACTGGATTTCCTTAAAGACTGTAGTCTGGAAAAGTTAATATGAATTGATATCACATAAAGACTGTACTTGTATAAGAAACCAGAGTCATAAATTTGAATTTATTTTGCAAACCACTGTTAGTACTATGGTTTGGGGTGATGGCTGAATTCACGAGCCATGGCTCAGCCACCGTAGGCTGCTGCATTGTTCAGTGACCTTAAATAATTAATTCTAAAATGATAGAAAATGAGTGCTTAAAACTATGGTTTGCCTGCTATAGATTTGGTAGCTCCGGCTACAGTTTTGGATCTCAAGTGAGGTTATCACAACCATGATATAGCAGGATGTTTGAACTGAGTCTGTGTTTGGTATCATTAGAAAATGTTTCAGTATTTTAAAAGTCTAATTCTGCCCATGCCCACTTCTGCTTGCTTCACTCTGGAGGCTTCTGCACTCCACTGAAGACAGGGGATAATCCTTCTCAAAGGAATGGAAGATTAATGTTGTTTGGAACCCTTTCTCTTGCCAGTCATGCCTCTGCTGTATGTGCTACCAGACAGGAAGTCAAACATCATCTGTTCCTATGAATGGAACAAGTATTCAGTGGAAAAACAATGAACTGAACAATCACAACACAGAACGGAGCATCCACAAGGACAGCTTAAACTGAGATTTGATGGAAGATGTACTTCACAATTTGTGATGGCTACCTGGTATTCAATAAACTTATTTCATTTGGAAGCTCTGTGCCCTAGCACTTAATTCCAGAGATGAACAAATGAAACTCTGTGTATATTTCCAAGTGGAAATTCGTCTTTCTTACAAAGAAATTTGCCGTTTGATAAGAAATAAGAACAATCTACGCATACACAATTATCTGCAGTGTGTTTTCAGTCTCCAGATGGAATTTCTCAGTAAGTGTGTGTGTGGCATCATTTTTAAAAATTTCATATGTTAATATGAATTATGATGGATTCTGTTAAGATTGTGAAGATGTAGGATCTATAGCTGTTCTCTCCTGCCATTCTCTTGACAGGAAATATTTTAGTAAGTATATTCCACATTTAAAAGCATGTTCAACATGAAGCATTACATATATGTGTGTGTGTGTGTCTCCAGATCTCAACAACATGTTAATAAACATCGCAAATGAGACGTTAACTGGACAATTATCCTTTGCTGCACTTTGCAAGCCACTGATTTGTAGGCATGGGCCTGAAACAGATGATCAAAAGGTACTGCAATATAATAGCTATGTTCACTCTTGCCAAAACAAATATATTTGTATGCATAACATAAATGTGATCCTCTGTTAAAAGACTTTTCAGGAGCATTGTTTCATCTAACTTTGTTCTTACTAGACTGTGAGCCCAACACTCTAACCTGGCAAAAATATGTGATAACTGCAAATTGAAAAAGGTGGGTGGATTCAACAGTATGAATGGATGGTATGCTACAATATTAGCAGAAATATTTGGAGAAAGTGGCCACTTATACAACTTATAAACTGTGTTTCATTAAAATACATTTGAGGAAAGCTGGTGGTGTACATAAAACAGCACATGTTGAACCTTGGTTAGTTGGTTGTGTGGTTATGTTTTGGACAAATACCATGATATTGGGCAATGGGCACTATAAACTTTGCATGAGCTTACTTGCAATAATGTTCTAGTGAAATGAGTCACAAATCTGTTGTGATTAAGATTGAGAATATCAAAATGCAAGTAGAAGTTTTTGCTTGTATTTATGGAAATCATTTATCACCTAACTCAGAAAATGAAACAAATAGTGTGTGCCTAGTTAATATCTGGAGACCACATGTGCCCCAGTACAGTGAAAACTGTGAGCATCTAGATACAAACAACTAGTGGAACCCATGCAGATCAAGATATGCCTCAAAATCAAACTTGATATATCACAGGAGATCCATGATCAGGAGCCTGCATTTTTAAAGAGAGATCCATGGTTCTGGAAGATAACCAGAGTATAGATAAGAGGGTGCTAGCAGAAGCCAGTGGACAGTACATATAATGCCAAACCTATGCCAGTTGCATTGGATAGGAGTTCATTGCTGGGCTTAGTTTTAGGTGCTAGTATTGACCTTAGTGGTAAGGGCCCTTTCTCAATGGAAGAGCATCTGTTCTGCATGCAGAAGGTCCCAGGATGAATCTCTGGCATTTCCAGGTAAGAACAGGATTGTAAGAATAGGATCTTGCCTGAAAAGCTGTAAGTGTTGGCAATGTGGGGCTAGAGGAACAAGATACTGATCTGGCATAAAGCAACTTTACATGATCTTCAAAGCCCTAATGCTCTATGATTGGTCACCTAGTCACCTGCCTTATCTACAGGAAGCTACCAGCATTTTAAAGTCATCTTCCTGGGCTCTCCTTTCTGCACTCCTACTAAATCAAACTGTTTTGGGAATACTAAGGAAGGACTTTTATTGCAGCAGCACCAAGACAGTAGATCCCTCCTCCCTGTGGAAATCTCTCAGGCCTCCTCACTTGGTACTTTTGACTGTTCTTTAAACACATGTTTATTCAGGAAGTCATTTTGATTAATAACCTTTGTGTGTACTGTTCTGTTTATTTGCTTTAGACTGTGCTTTCTGTTGTGTGAATGTTATTGTTGATTAAATAGTTTTACTGCTTTTAGTGGTATATTTAAAAACTGTATATGTATAAAACTTACATAGAGATTATCTCCATGCTGTTTTTCTGATGTAAATTTCACTTTGAAGCTGTTCTAAGTTCCCAGTATATTTCCCCCTGAGGGTTAAAAAGTGGATTCAGAAAATCCACAGGGACCAGGACAAAAGTATAGGTAACTCCTGTTGCTTCCTCCAACACATGACCCTGTTCCTATGTGCTAACCCCCAACCCTTTCTTTTTTGCTTTTGATTTGAAAAAGTACTCACAGATGTCTCTCATTTCATTTAGTTATGTCCATCCAGTTCAACATACTTTGCATGGGAATATGCCAGCCAACAAGCCTCAGCAATGAGTGAAGAAACTGGCTTTTCTGGAAAAAGGGAAATTAGGAGATCAGATTGAATGTCTTGGAACAATGATTATAATTTACTAGATTTAGATGAGATTAATTTTTGCAGAAGCCATTTTACAAAAATAAAACAAACCAGTAAATAGAAACAGTTCCTAAAAGTATATTCAAAGCTGGTTTGCTCTTGCAGTTTGTGCTCACCTGGTGCCTATGTTGTGCTCTTCCTGGTTCCAGATAAAGACCTTATTTTCTTGGGCCTTTTAGTAATTCAGTTTCTGTAATCTTATATATGTTAGGATACAATCCTATAATGTCTCGGCACTGCCTAGGTGGCCATAGGATTGTCTTCAGAAGCTGGAGCTGAAACTTTGACCTCCAAGCACCTTCCTTCCGTTCATTAAAGTGGTGCAGTTGCTTCTGCACTCCTGTGGCTCTGAGGTTTCAAGACCAACATTGGAGATGATTTTGGGAGGCTGAATTGGGGGCTTTCCAGTGAAGAGTGAGACTACACAGGTAGTCCCAAGTATCATTTTCCTTTTGATATTTGAAGAGGTGTTTGGTCACTTTACAAATTGCAACAAGTATAACTCTGCCAAACTATTTATGTTGGTTATGTGGCATGTTTAACATTTTTAATTGATGTTATCTTGGCAGTTTTATGCTTCCATCTATGCATATTGCTCCAAGTTACCTTCTGGAAGAAAAAAAAATTCACAGATAAAATATGAAATGTTATCTACATAACTGTGTGATAACTTTCTCATCATTGTCGTAACTTTTATTATGTGGCAGATTTTTGGGCTGTTACTGCTGTACAGGTAACAATGTATTAGCCAGAAAAATGAATTACTTACAGCAATGTAATATATAATATGCACACTACAGAAAACTGTCCGGAGATGTATAGTAGCTGCTATACTTAACTCTGGGAAATAACTATGTGGAACTAAGCATCCATCTATTTCAAGTGGAAGACACTATTCTGTACATAATTTAGAAGGTTGAATGCAAACTTCCTTTAGTTAAATCTGCTGAATGATTTCCAAAATGTTTACAGACATACAGGAGATAACATTGGAATTTGTATATATAAAAACTCTCCAGTGTAAATAACTGTATATATTTTGGTGAATGAGTGCTTCGCTTTATTATTTCCTTCTGTTTATATACATATGTATGTGCTTCTGTTTTCAAGCAAAAAAGTAATATGTAGACATGGATAATACATAAGAGATTATGTGATTTTTAATTATCATTATTTTGTTCCTAACAGCCTATGACACAGTAAGAACATAAATTATCCTGGACAGCAATGTTTTGTTTTGTTTTTTTAAAATTCTTCATTCTGACCTAGTGGAGTCAACTTCTGTGTCAATATGGTAGAACATACCTTGATATGAGAACACAATTTCTCTTGAGAACCAGTTATACACCTGATTTTATAACCTCACACAGTAAAGGTCTTAACTGGAACTACAAGCAAACTAAAAGATTTGATTTTTCATTCCCTTCTTCCTTTCCCAGTCCTTCAAAAATCTACATTTTAGGGCATTTTCACAACCATAACAACCACTTGTCAATTTCCACACTGGCAAATTGAGTAAAATGACTGCATATTTCTCATATTGCTATTGATTTTATTCTGCAGTTCATGAAGACTGCATGACGCCCTACCCTGCAGAAGTGAGATGTCTCTTGCTAGTAATACCAACTTGCTGCCATCACTTGAGGAGTTTGCTTTTCTTACCCTTGACCTTTTAAGTATAAAAAGGTTATTTGGTAGTTGCTATGAAAATTGTTAATCTTGAGAATAACAACATGAGAGCTGAATTTTGTCAGATTATGCTGGAGAAGCAACAGAATACTGTATTCCTTTAAACAGCAACTGTACAAAGTCAACAATGCCAAGTAGGTATTCCTCCATGACAGCTAACTTCCTTGTATTAATTTTCCCATAAACAACAAAGCACTGTCAAATATGTGTTTATCATATATTTATAGAACTTTCCCATGTGTTCATTCCCACTTGCCAGGTATGGGAACTGAATTGTGTATCCCTCTCCACTGGCCATTTACTTGGACCTTCCTCTGCATTGTATCCCAGAAAAGAAACCCAAGCACATTACAGTTCTATGGCTTGGGAAGGCTGAAAACTCTGGGTTTAAATTAGTTGTTTACAGTGCAATCCTATGGGCCATCCAACATTGCCTAGAATATTTGGTGCCCTGGAGACTTTGGAGCATAAACCCCAAAGGCTGAGCCTCTGCCCTACTTTGCAGCTGACATCTATAGAACTGCCAGTTGCCTCATCAAGGTTGCAACTGGGCCTTGGAGAGGCAGTAAAGAGGCATGTCAGGAGGTAGGGTAGAGAGGGGTCCAAGGCCAATGACTTAGACTGATTCCTGACAGTGCCCCAGTCTCATTTTCTTCTCCCCAGTGCTTAATCTTAATTAAGATGGCCCAAAACAGCCATCTAGATAAATACATGGCTCAAGGCACAGTGAGGGATGAATGTGCTGCTGTGCCTTGGTCCAAGTACTGGATGCCCTTGTTTGTTCACCCACAAAACTCTAGCTACAGATGTTCTGCACTTCTAAGGTCAGGGAAGGAGTCCTTATAGCCATCCAGACTTTTCCTAGTGGCTATATGATTGTATTCTTAGACTTAGGTTCCACATAAATCAATAGAACAAATTGTTCTATACTTCAGTTTGATTGAAGGAAATGGAACAAGTTACTGCTAACTTAAGTCTTGTTGATATAAATGGAAATGCAATGCAGCCAACATAATCTTGATCCAACAGCATGATTTCAGATGAGGGGGTGGGATGCACAAGAAGAACCTATGTCTGCCATTTCATAGCAGGACCATAGCTTACTGGAACAGCACAAGCTTGATTACGCAAAATGCCCTTTGTTGTATCCTGCCTACGGTCTAACCAGGAAAGTGTTGACCCAAAGAGATACAAATACACCTAAAGCAGTGCTGTTATATAACTACTCAGAGGATGCAATGTCCTCATAATGATCACTCATAATCAAGATAACTCCCATATTTGTTTGGCTTGTCATGCTCTGCTGGATTTTTCCCAACAGAACTTGGTATAAACTTGCCCCTGTCCATATCAGGGTAGTATTGCTGTTTGGTTAATCACACCAACAGTTACCAGATGGTAAGGGAGTCCAGGTGATCTGTTGAGACCCTTTCACCTTTGCTTATGCTCTAATCAGAAAAATGCAGATCCCACTCTCAGCCTCAATAGGGTACTCTCTCATAGAACGCATTGTCTCCTGCACTGTGACATAGACAAGTGAGCTTTGTTCTTGGTTTCTCTGAAAATCTGTGTGAATTTGCATGCACAGGTCTCCAAATGTACATAGTAATTGTTCCCTAAGTTGACTTATGTGTGTTTCTATAATTTTTTTCAAACACTTATTCTTCGGCTAGTCACACCATAATCTCAATTGTACAGAAATTGGTGACAAATTATATTCATGTTCCAGGAGAATTGCAGGAGAAATGGCTACATCCTGGTGAAAACCAAACTGAAATGAACTTCTCATACTCTGTCCTGTTCCCGCCTCCAAACAAAAGAGAGAGAATGACAAACTGGGGCCTTTTCATCCGCTAACCATCAAAGATTAGAGATGCAGCTCAAAGTTGCAATATTTATTGAATGGGACCAGTGATGGAATGATATCTGCAAGCAACATATTGAAATGGGTTTTATTTATATTACGGTACTATGACGCTTCTGGACAGACTCTGGGGTAATCTTCTGCTTCATACACTAAATTTTACAGAAGGTCCAGATAATGTTTTCAGTTTGCAACTGTCCTGTGTTTTCCTAGGCCTTGTCCACCTTATTTTCTTCCTATAGAAAACTTCTGTGAGAAAAGACAGAGCAGCTGCACACATCTTTTGATTGGGAGTGCTAGTGGCCCTGTGCCTGGTTACATCACAGGCAATTAGTGAGGAACACATGACTTGCCGTGCACACTTCCAAAATCCTGTTAATTCCACAGGAAGCAAGGAGGGTGGAGCACGCATCTCCTTTCCCATCGGAATAGGATTTCTGGCAGGACTTCATTAGTGTGATTTGGCTGACAACAGTGACCACTTCTGTCAGTGGGGTTCCAGGGGCACATGATATTCCCCAACTCTTCCAAGATACTCGTGAAGAGAAGGGATGGGCAACTTGTAGCCCTCCAGATATTTTGCTCTACAGCTCCTCTTTCGACTGCAGGCTAGAGCCGGTGGAACTTGTAGGCCAAAACTTCTGGAGAGCTACAAATTGCCCAGCCCAGTATTAGAAAGGGGACAGCAAGATGGGGCTGGCTGATGGTAAAAGTACAGACCCACAGAATCAGGTCTTTTTAGGATTAGGCAGAAAATTGACTGACAAATCTCTGGGACGGCCTGATTGCCAGTTCTTAGCTATCTGGGCCTGCCTGAGTCACACTTTTGTTCATGACTCAGAGACATGAAGAGGAAGAGACAGAGAAAGCAAAAGAGGAGAGAAGGAAGCGTTTCCTTTCTGCAGAGAGAAGGAACTGCTGAGTTTGGACAGGGAGGGAGCTATTTGTGGTTTTTCCACTTTCATGGGGGTCCTGCTCTCCTAACACCCATGAATGTAGAGGGTGGACTTACATACAAATTCTACCTAAAGATTAATTTCTGTTTTCTCGGGAATGGAATTCATTCACAACTCACTGCCTGCCTGTATGCAGCATTTCCACAAATGCATAAAAAGCAGTATTATTCTGCTTATATGAAAGAAGGCACCTTCTGCTATGTAATTTATAAAAGATAGTTGGCATGAAGACAAAGCTAACCAAAATCAAATTTAATTTTATTGTATTTATAGAAGTAGAATTTTCTGAGGGATTAAATATATAGTGACTGCATGATGATCTGTATTAGCATAGATTTTCATAATCCCATCAAGGGAACATGACTACTGAAACATGGATCACCAGTTATCCTGTTTTCAGGCTGTCAAAAACGGCAGTTATTCGGGCAGTTAGTACATGCACAGCATGCATTAGAAGGGTCTTTAGCAAAACACCTCATATCGCTTGAGTGGTGGGAAGGGGGAGTTTTAGCAAAATATAGGTTAACTGCACTTTCTCTAAAGAAAAATAAAGACTAAAGTGACATCTGACACCTCAGACTACTGTCAGCAATTTTTTTCCTTTGTGTAGACAAGACTGCTGCTGAAATCAATTGGAAGCCACATTTTCACAGCTTTATGTGTTACAATACTCACCTGTATTCTCCTGTGGTTGGTTGGTATAAGAGATTTACTTAAATGTCTAGATCCCATTGGCATCTTTTACAAACTACACAAATGTACTTGGCTGTGATGGACTGTCAGACTCCTTGACGCTAGTGTCCCTTAAAGAAACATGTCAAATCAACAGCCAAATTAGACTTTATTATCATTTAGGTATCTATAACATTCTTTTGCGAGAGCACAAGGGGGACTTGCAGTACAAACCTACCTAGGCTCTAAAGAAACATTCAATCAATAAAGATGCAGAGGAACTTTCACTAAAATTTCCCTCTATGAAAGGTGTGGTATTTGTACTCATTTGTAAGCATCATAGGTAGTTCAGGTCTCCTGTGGTGATATCACTTGTGATGATATCGCATATCTTAAAATTCAGATAGGAACAGTTTGCACCTGGTAAAATGAAATTCCTCTTCCAGATAGCAATGCTCAGCCAATGCTATAGACACCAGAAATGTGGGTGCAGGCAGGTCACAAATGTATTTTAATTACCTAGTATTGTAATTCTCCACTGTTTTGTTGCTTGCAACTGGTGTTGCCAACATCAGATATTTGGGAGGCAGCATGAAATCACTTATCTTTCCCTTTTAAAAAAATGGTGGGAGTTTTTCTGGATGACCTGTGTGCTTGCAGCTGGGATGCATTTTTTTCCTGGTGGTAGCTTGGGATATGTGAATTTTGAACACTTGCAGTGTATGTGGAGGTATTTTGGAAAATTAATTTGGGAGTGAGCTTCCTATTAATGTAGTTTTATTACATTAATATGAAACACAAAGTGGCTTTGTGTCTGAAGGCTCAGATTTCCTCTTCTGTCTTTACCTTTGGCGTTCTCTACAATAATTTTATGATCAGGCAACTCCTGACAGCCCTTTTGTAACTATACAAATAAATATGTACATATTTTTCCAATCACATGTTGTCTCTTCTCACCACTTGGTAGCAATGGTGAGAAGAGCTGCAGAGCAAGATGTAATGGAAACAAATATTCAGTGCAACAATGAACAGAAATCACACCCACAGCTCTATTACCAGCCTCCATCTTATACTTGCAGGATTCATGAACATATTGAAAATAGACATGAGGGTATTCCGGTCATTTGGCCTTAAATGGTTGGTTGGTTGGTTGGTTGTTTTTAACAAGGAAGGTTTCTAAAATAATTAACACCTGTAATGAAGATGTCTTGAAACTTCCACACATGAACAGACATTCTGCCAAGGATATGAAACTGTCTCAAAAACAAATCTGTTGTGTAACAATTTCACAAAACTCCTGTCTCTTTCATGTTTTTTAGGTACCAGAAACAGTTTGCACGCTCTTCATCTTTACAGAACAAGTCAAGCAGAGCTATTAACTAGATAAGGGGAAAGGAATAAACAACCTCCACCTCCCTACCCTACAATAAATTATCTCCTTTATCTCCAATCCATAAAAGCAACTCTGCACAGACATTTCTTCCTTTGAAGTCACTTAAAAAAAAAAAACAGCTTTTGCCTTGAACTGCTTCCCAATCCTTTAATTCATGTGAAATAATGAATACAATTTATAATTGATTTCAGCATGCACAATTATACCTCAATAAAATTAACTTCTTTGACTCAACTTTGGATATATTGTTGTTGTAATTCTCTGCATTCATAACTAAACTGACAAATGGAAAAGCATGAAGTATTAAATACAATAAAATCTTCAGTTGACTTACTTTGGAATAACTTGGTAGCCCTAGTAGACCATTCTGGCATCTCCCATTGGCTGTTTCTAATAGTATAACTTTATACTAGATAAAAAGTGCTTCACTGTTCTCAAGAATCCTGGGAGGTATAGTTTGGTGAACATGCTCAGAATCCTCTGTCAGAAGTCCTCACAGAAATACAAACTTATTCCTACAGATTCCTGTAGGAATTCCTACGAGATTCCTAGGAGAACTTGCTGCATTCTCCGTTCCTCCCCATGCTGCTTTTCCATATGTTGTGGAAGAAATCCAAAGGGGAAAACCTGTTCAATGTTCAAAGGTTCTTCATAAGATTTAGAAGCTGGTGATCAGGCTTCTCACTTCAGACTTTTGCCACTATGTGCATGGTAGGGCCATAGTGAACAAGCTTGCTGTTAGTAGCTTAAGCTCCCCACCTTCCTCTAACCTTCCTTCAAGGAGACCCTTTAGCCTGGTTTCAGGATTGAGGGACTCCACTCATCAAGCAATGAGCTGAAACTCTTTGGATGTGTCTGCTTCAGGGAATACCAGAGATTGGCTAACATTATGCTTGCAAATTGAGCTTAATATATGTGGGTTAAGAGACAAAGTAAAACCACAAAGGAAATTAGTCCTGAAAATTGGTCAGGTTTACGTATGTATATCTATGATTTGAAGCTCTGGAATACTCACTAAACTTAAAGTACACATGAGCATGCTATCAATTTAATTGCCACTATAATGGGAATTCTCTTTAAAATGATTTAAAAGATAGTACACAAGAAAAACATGACTTATCCAAGCAGTGGATCCCTCCATCCAGAGCTACTTACTCCAGCCATCTGATTGAGTGGTTAGCCACACCTTGCCTTCTCTAGGATGGTGGACTTATAACCATCCTAAAGAGTGCAGACTTAAACTTCCTTTTATAGCTCACCCTAAATTGCTGTTGCTGAACACCTACATAAGGTGGTTTTGTCTCTGAAGTCACTGTTGCCCAACACCCACATCTGATACTGATTAATTTCTTTCAATAAGTTAACAAGTATGTGCAATTGGCTAAGAAACCTTGTATTAAGTTTTAGAAATACAGCACTGTAAGAATAGGAGCAGGACAGTGAATATGCCCGCACTGTTCTCTTCACATGAATATGATTGTGTGTAGGCAGGGTTCCCCCCAAAGGGCTTCTGTTTGCTAGACTTAATTGCTTTATGTAATTTGGAGTAGACAGCCTAAGAATCTAAATCAGCAAAATAATATACTGACAAAATCATTAACATCCAATTATTTTAAACCAGCAATTCACAGAACTTAGATGTTCAGTTCCCAAATTAAGAATGTCTAAGTTATGAACAACCCGTACTTATGAATGAACTGACATAAGCCCATTAATTTTAAAAAATTGTCATCACAATTGTTAGAGAGATGAAGTGAAAGGGGAGAGAAGGGGGGCCTCCAAAGCATGCCTTCTTGCCCTGCCCATCTGGAAAGGTAGCACTGGTGAGTTTGGGTGGGAGGGAGGCCTAGATAATGTTTTTTTCACTTTCATGGGGGTCCTGTACCACTAACCTCATGAATGTTCGGTGACTGGGGCAGCATAGTAGCTAGCTAGCTAAATAAATAAATAAATAAATAAATGTGGAGAGCTTACTGTATATCATCCAATTTACATAGACATTCAACTTAAAGATGAATTTCCTTCTTCTCAGGAATGGAACTCCTTTGAAACCCACAGACTGTCTGTATTCTAGCTGCTGGAATAAACTTGGCTTGAATAACTTACAAGATCACACTGTTTAATGGATGTTTTTAAACTGAGTGATACTGAAGGCTTTTCAATGCTGCTGACCAGTGCTTTTTGTGTAAGAAAAACAGTGCTGGAACTCATGAAATTATTTACCTTTCGCACGTAGTCAATCACTGTACACACATCCACACACGTCAGTTGTGTAACGAAACATAATGGTTGCTGCCCGCAGTAAGCACTCAGCGTGTGACCACATGACCAATCACAAGATGAGCAGCGCCACAAGCTGAGCAGCGCCATCATAACCAGTGCGAAGTACGCATGCATCAGATTCGACACACAAGCAGCCCGCACGCACCGTTTTAATGTTTTTGCCGCCAACCTGCTACGCTCGACAGGGAGATTCAAATCCACATGGACCAAACATCAAATTTTTCAAAATTTACTTTTAAAACTTGGAAAATCTGTTGAAAAAAGGTGCCAGAACTCTGTTCCGGTGCAGTCTATGACAAAAAAAGCACTGCTGCTGACACAGGCTACTGGAAATAACCCAACCTCTGGGACTGGTGTTCTTTCACTTCACTATGAAATATACAGAACAATGTCTGGAAGTTTCAACTTCTGCAGCCAAGTATCTATTATGTTTTTTTAAGATGTGTACTGCATGCTTTAGAAAAATACAGTTAACTCTAATAAAATATTGCATGTAAATTGAAATATCACATCATCTCTACTCTACCATGAGATATTACATGCATATGCTCACTACTCAAAGGATAAAAATAAAAAGCAACAACTAAGATTATCTAAAAAAATGTGTATGGGAATGAAGAAAATTCTAGTTACTTTTTTTCTGAAAAACAAGATCAGATTCTCACTCTATTAATCCGAGTTACAATACTACTCCTAGTATCCCTGGTTAAAAAAACATTCTACAGTTACAGATGTTAGTCCAAGATAGAGTTATGGTGAAGGGATTTCATAGAGATGTTTGAGGATTTCATTAGGTCTGCATTTCAAAGCTAACCTAATATATGTATTGGAACAGTTATCTTTTGCACTTCTCTGAGTTTTGCAATGCAATTTTTGGCTTTCAGTACATACCAATATGTATACTACAGAGTAAAACACATTTAGAAATGCATAATTAGAAAATAAACTTAGGGAACAATTGTGTGGCCACTAGACAGTCGAGATGGCCAGAGGAGAGGTTTGAGCCTCAGCTCCAACCATGAAAATATGCTTTGTCAGTCTGACCTTAGAGCAGCCTCCTTCTGCCTTCACAGCCTGGGTGATTCTCTCTGTGCCAATTGCCATTCTGAGGTTGGTAAACCTTGGAGATGCAGGTGTGTGAGCATTCTGGTGGGCAGGGAGTGAGGGAGCAAGGCTTCACCACCAGCCATAATGTTCTGGTGCAATTTCAGCCTGTCCTTGCAGTTCTGGACAAAAGATTTAGATTTAGATGGCCAAAATTAGCTGCCATGCAACTGTTTTGCATGGCAGTGACCTTTCCTGTGGGTTTATGCAGAAATTGGACAGGTAGGCTCATGAATGAAAGCATGCAAAACTGAAAAGGGTCAGAAATAGACTGATCTGTCCATCCTTAAGCATTCCACATTTCCCAAGGGGTGAGATGTTCAGAAGCTGCATTATACTGGACTTTGGTAAGCCTCCCCGAGATGTGAGAGATGTGATTGAGTCACTGGAGACTGACATGTTTTTGTGCTTTATCAGAGCCTACTGGAAGCGGGAAAGCTGTTTGTGCAATAATCCTGCATCACATTCCTAAAATAGACAACTTCACCTCTTATGTTTTATGGTAGAACTATGTACTTGGCTATTCTTTTTTCACATAAAGCAGCTATAGAAACTTCCCCCAAATTATTATTTTCCAGAGGTTTGGACTATGGCCCTTACCATCCTTGACCATTACCCTTGCTGGTTGGAGCTGACAGGAGTTAGAGTCATCCAGAAATATCTGTGGGAATCCAAACTGGGGAAAGCAGAGCAACAGAGTAGCTTTAGAAATATGGAACATACCTTAGGTTGATAGGATCAGGTAATTTACTAGCACTTAGGCCTCTCCACCTTGTTTCAGCTACAGATTTGCCAAAACCGACATTATTCAGCAATTTTTTGAAACTCTTGTAAATAAAGTTGGAAGCACCAGTCAACAGTACACATCCATAACCCTGAACAACTGCAGTGTTTGGTATGATGATATAATAGGATACTGCATCTACTCTCTCAACTCTTTCCAAACACACACACACACACACACACACACACACATGTTGGCATTCTTATTCCACATGCACAAATTCCAACTGTTGGAGTGGGGATTCATACATACAAAGCACATATTTGCATGTACAATTCCCTATTCAGTTAGGGTTTGGTGAAAATCTGTTTCAGCATGCCTCTAATGAGATCTAGGCAATAGTTTAATTAAATTTAAATTATTATTATTATACTTGATTTTGAAAATAAGGTGATCCAGGAAAAATGTTTTATTCAATTAGATCTTGTAGAGAAACGTTAAAGTCACTGCTAGTTAGACATTAAAGCTGGTGTTGATTATGGTTTTTCAGATATATTTAATGATGGTCAATTTTTAATACAAGTGCAATTACTAGCATTTTAATGCAAGAAAAGTATGTCTGGTTTGCTCTCAGTATAATAACCTAAAGGTATTGGAGAAAATCCTGTCTTTCATTTTATTAATTAGCTTTTGAAATAAAGAAGCTATAAAAGGTACATTTACACCTTTGCAAAGCAATTATGTAAAACCAGTGAAGTAATTTTAAAAAGTGAAAAAATGTGTAAAAATGTTGAAGCAATGAAAGATTATAGTTTTGTAAAGTCAGCCCTACCATAACGCAGAATGAGGCAACCTCCTCCTCAAGCAGTAGATTTTCGGTGCCTGGGAAAGCAAAATGTTAACTGTTTAGGGAGTGGAACCTGTGGGCCCTGGACAGTGTTAGGACCAGCAAGTGCGCCCTCCCCACCTTCTTGCAACCGCAGC